GAGGTGAATAATTGTTTTAGTATATACTAACACAGTGAGATAATTGAGCACAAAAATGACGATTTTTAACTCAAATACTGCTGCCAACGATTACAATTTTGGCGCGTAATGACCGGGCCGCCGTGGCCGTCGCTTTTTCTTGCCGACAATTAAAACTTTTGAAGGCATTTGTTTAGCTCTTGCGGGGAAATTTCTTCAAAAGGAGTTGTGAATTCTTTTTGTATTTAAAATCCTTCTGTAAAAAAAGATTATGAACAACTCAACTAAATAAAGTAAGCAAGACTTAAACTTAATTTGCATTTGTAAACAAAAAACTTTTTCACCGGTGTTATCGATAAATTCATGTCAAAAAGACAAAGCTTTACCTGTTAAAACTTCCAATCCGATCTTCGTCACCTTCTTCGTGTATTTCAGAAACAGCTTGCTTGATTAGTTGTGAAATTTCTTTGTTTGTTTACGGAGCAAACCGGGAAGGCATTTTGCTCGCAACTTACGCGAGTTTGGCGTCGCTCGCTCGGAGGAACTGGAGGTGAATCAGTGAATAGTGCAGGATATTCACTGATTGAGTAGCCAATCAGAGCGCGCGAAAAACACTATCCACTGTTTTAGTATATACTAAATAGATTTAGCCAGGACTAAAAGGGAAGCTCTCGATAATATTTATGGTTTGTTCAAACAAAATATAAAATCGTGTAATGCTAAGTGGCGAAGGCAATGCTGGAGAACGGTGAAAAACAACAATATGTCTAATTAGCAAAAAAGCAACTTTGCACGTGCAGCACACTTTTTTTGTATATTTCTTTGTCGTTGTTTTGCACAACTACAAGGTGAAACTTCCAGAAACTTCTTAGTCACACGTTTTATGGAGGAACTGTTGTACGTGTTCTCATGCACTATTTTCACTGTTGCTCATTTTCACCTTGCATTGGTGGTCGCTAGTATTTCTCATTTTGTCACCGCCGCTACAAAATTTTCATGTTGTTCTTCCAACAAAGAAATGTCTCCTGTGTTTTTTATCTGTCGCTCTAGATCTCTGTCGCCCTTTTCCTCATTGAGCTTTGCTGGCCTGCCGCCTACTTTCTCTTTTTCTCTGTCTTTCTCTGGCTCTATAATAATATATATTATTCCAAATTTGTGGACATGACAATTGATTTAAGCTTAATGCTTTAGACAAGACGGATACAGAAACAATTTTTGCTTTCCATTTTCTTCTTTATTGACTCTTAGTTGTCTCTGCTTTACAAGATGCTGGTGGCTATGGGATTTCCTTCCAAAATAACCTTGATTTGCATTTGGGTTGCCATACCTGCTTACTGAGTTATTTTACATTGGTATACCTGTGGTGTGGACGGATGGGCACTCGGTTGGTGTACGGTCACATGATTACCAAATTTTCTTGGATGGGTAGATTTACTTAGCAGTGGTGCTGTGCTCCCGCACGCGTGGGGCTCCACTATTAGGTTTTCTGCGTCGAGCGCGCAAGGTTCTTCCCAAATCTACTTCTTTAATACTCTTTAATGCAATTCGACTACTGTTTGTCTGTCAGGGACGGACGCATACAAAACCCCAGTCCATGGACCACCCCTGTGGACCTAGTCCATGGACCACCCTCGTGGACCACCCCTTATTTTTGAAGATGAATTTTTCCATCGGTCTAAAGAAATAATTTAGGATTAAACCTTAAATGGAAGAAATTGTGTCAATTTATGTAATTATGATTAAAGGATTTTACTATCTATTTTTGTACATATTATTTTACAATTGTAAGTAACTATACTACTTTACAATTGTAAGTGGCTTCAAGGCTGCTGCCTAATGGGTGCCCAGTCACCAGAGGCACCTACAATTTACCCTCAGGCGACCAAAATTTCAAACAGGGAGCCTGGAGGGGTGCTTAAAACTTATGATTCTCAGGCTAAATTTTGGTGAACAAACAACAAAATTGTGATGGGTCAAAAGGGAGACTTAGGTTTTGAGAAGTGTGAATCAAGTTTCGAGGATGTGGTCGAGGCTGTGAACTTAAGATACATATATGTGCATGCATTAGCACTCTTTACACTGCAGCTGGGGTGACAGAGAATCTCAAATTACCTTGATGTTTAAGTGTCATGGTGGGACATTAACACACACTACAGGGTGAGGTTTTTACCCATTCGCCACTTTAGAAGCAAAAAGAAAGCTGGAGCTGAAATGCATCCAGCAATTGTTTCTGGTATTATTATTGGGGGCACCCCGCTCTGCTATTGGCCAATTTTTTCCCTTTCCCTAGTAACAGTCCCGGAGGTCTTTGTGAATGTTAACTCATCCCAGTTTCCCTCTTGTGTCTAAATTGGGGAATATTTAAACTAGACCATAATGATCTTATACAGTGGAACCTCGATTTAACGAACCTCTAAATAACGAAGGCCTCATTGTGATGAGCAATTTTCTTTACCCCAATAATAGTAAAATATGTGAAAAAGAACCTCGTTATAACGAACAAGTTTTGTCAGTCCCTTGGTCCTCCGTTAAATCAAGGATCCACTGTATCATAGTAAGTCTGTGGGCTTGGTACCTTTTCTGGTGGGACAGCCAGTTCATACAACTACCACTCTCTGAGGCTCCAGATCTAAGTTCAGCTAGTGTTTCTGTAATGCTTAAGGTGTAGCAATTATATATGGAAAACCATGTTGTCCTTCATTTTGCCATTTCAGTTTTTTTATGTTTGTCTTGGTGTAAGCAAGGGTCCTTATCTACACAGACGTACCAAAGCGTGAGTCCCACTAACATTGAGTGGTCAACAAGATTAATTTTATTTTTTAACATTTTGTCTGTAATTATTCATCAGCCCACAGTCCTGCAGAAATACAGGAACAGTACTGACCCAGAAAGTAAGAAACAAGTCTATAAATTAATATATTGTATTTTATTTAATTCACTGGTGCCAGCTGTTGGCAGTGCAACTACAACAGTGCCAATAACAGTCCCTTTCTCCCATGAAAAGTGAATTACACAGTCAAGGTCAACATCCTCTACCTTTATTCATAAAGCAGTGCGAGTTTTTTAAGTCTCACCTGAATTGCACAAAGAGTGAAGGGAGGTCTCCAGTGCTAATGGCTGAATATGTCACTACTAAATGGCAGTACAGACTCAACTTGATAGTCTGCCAGTGTTAGCTATTTCAGCCATAATTTTTAACTTTTACAAAATGGCTCACAATCTACAGACTATTTTATTGTTACTGTTAGTACCGTAAAATAATGCTCAGATTAGTGCCTTGGGCCCTTATTTAATGTTCTGTGACAAGAGGGGGTGCTAATTCACGCTAATTTTGTTATCAATTTTTGGTCTCAAAATGACACTATCTTTATATTTTCTAGTTAACCCAAACTGTAACATATAAAAATTCAAAAAAACGTCATAGAAAATTACTTTTTGTGAAACTTGAAACTTTCCCAAGATGTTTTCGAGTTGCCTGTCAGAAATTTATTGTACCTCTTCAAATTATAGAACAGTTCTAACAATGGGTTTGGCATCATGAAATGTTTTGTATAAAAAGGAAAGCCTGCTGTTAATGTTCTGACTATATGAATGTCACACTCATTTAAAGTATCGTATACGTCTCGTATATCGTACCGAGTACAGGACCTCGTTTTTTCTGCAAGGGGGTAGGGGGGGATTATTCCAAATTTTGAGCCTTAGGAGGGGATGTAATTTGAAGTGGGGCATTTATTTGAAGCTGGGTGCTAATTCGAGTATTTAGGGACAATATATTTGTAAAAACTACATGTTTACAATAAGTTTATGATATATTACTTTTCAGAGAGGATAAATGGATATGTAAGGTAGGTTTGATATTATTGCATTACTATATGACATGTGTTACATGCAAGTTTCATCTGTAGTTCAGGGCTGTGCTCTGTCCGAGCCCTGTACATGTGGCCCCTGGTACCTGACTTTTGCTCTTGGGTGACTAGAAAATCTTATTTTTTTCATACAAATCCAAGGCTGTGTTCTAAGGGAAATTAAAGGGAGCCCAGTGTTCTGAAACTTTGAAATCTAGGGTGCCTAGAAAATGATTTGAATGAAAAAGACTAAGATTTTCTGGTCGCCCAAGAGCAAAAGTTAGGGGCCAGGGACCACTGGGCTGACTGCTAGAACACAGCCCTGGATTTTACAGGTTCGGAGCACTGGGCTACCTTCAATTTTTTCTTAGAGCGCAGTCTTGTAGTTCAGTTATGGTATAGAACAAACTAACTGTGCTCCATCCAGGTTGACATCTTAATGACTTCACTAATAATTGTGTTTTATATGACCTTTTGAGACATACGTTCACTCGGGATATATAAATTATTTCTTGAACTTTGCGAAACAAATACATTGATAGATAAAATTACAGGTCTTGATAGAAGAATTCAGATGTCAAGTAATGGCAATAACGGCAAACAATCTTTTAGCTGATTGGCACCTGAGGCTCAAGTTTGTGGATGACACGTTTGCCATAGAAATACTACCCAGAAAGTCTGCTTAATTCGGCCGCGTCTGACATTCACAATTTTTCTATGGATCACAAGATGAGACTAAATCCTATTAAATATAATGTAAGGAGATGTTAATTAACTTTACTCACAGATCACAAAATTACATCTTATACCTGAAATTTGTAGACTTTTAACTGTGTTTTCACAATTCTTGTGAACTTTGACATTTATTTTCTCGGACTCCCATGAGAAATTTTCTTTGGTGTTATTACAGAGAACTAATTACATCTTTAGTGTTAGAAAAATGTAAAAAAGAATGCAATATTCTTTAAATTATTCTGGTATGTACAAGGTTTTTGTCCACCGAAAATTAAAATTACTCAGTTTCCTGGTGGATTCTGTCTTAATAAATTACATCCAAAATCACTAACAAATATCTTTGTTGTGTGCTGTTGTAGCTTGGGTATCATCTATTCAGTGTTCACTGTTGCTAACTGGCTTGCACCATCTTTTGTTGGTTTATTTGGACCAAGAGTATCCATGATAGTTGGTGGCATCTGTTATGAGGATGTGGTCGAGGCTGTGAACTTAAGATACATATATGTGCATGCATTAGCACTCTTTACACTGCAGCTGGGGTGACAGAGAATCTCAAATTACCTTGATGTTTAAGTGTCATGGTGGGACATTAACACGCACTACAGGGTGAGGTTTTTACCCATTCGCCACTTTAGAAGCAAAAAGAAACTGGAGCTGAAATGCATCCTGCAATTGTTTCTGGTATTATTATTGGGGGCACCCCGCTCTGCTATTGGCCAATTTTTTCCCTTTCCCTAGTAACAGTCCCGGAGGTCTTTATGAATGTTAACTCATCCCAGTTTCCCTCTTGTGTCTAAATTGGGGAATATTTAAACTAGACCATAATGATCTTATACAGTGGAACCTCGATTTAACGAACCTCTAAATAACGAAGGCCTCATTGTAATGAGTAATTTTCTTTACCCCAGTAATAGTAAAATATGTGAAAAAGAACCTCGTTATAACGAACAAATTTTGTCAGTCCCTTGGTCCTCCGTTAAATCAAGGTTCCACTGTATCATAGTAAGTCTGTGGGCTTGGTACCTTTTCTGGTGGGACAGCCAGTTCATACAACTACCACTCTCTGAGGCATCAGACCTAAGTCCAGCTAGTGTTTCTGTAATGCTTAAGGTGTAGCAATTATACATGTAAAACCATGTTGTCCTTCATTTTACCATTTCAGTTTTTTTATGTTTGTCTTGGTGTAAGCAAGGGTCCTTATCTACACAGACGTACCAAAGCGAGAGTCCTACTAACATTAAGTGGTCAACAAGATTAATTTTATTTTTTAACATTTTGTCTGTAATTATTCATCAGCCCACAGTCCTGCAGAAATACAGGAACAGCACTGACCCAGAAAGTAAGAAACAAGTCTATTAATTTATATATTGTATTTTATTTGATTCACCGGTGCCAGCTGTTGGCAGGGCAACTACAACAGTGCCAATAACAGTCCCTTTCTCCCATGAAAAGTGAATTACACAGTCAAGGTCAACATCCTCTACCTTTATTCATAAAGCAGTGCGAGTTTTTTTAAGTCTCACCTGAATTGCACAAAGAGTGAAGGGAGGTCTCCAGTGCTAATGGCTGAATATGTCACCACTAAAGGGCAGTAGAGACTCAGCTTGGTAGTCTGCCAGTGTTACCTATTTCAGCCATAATTTTTAACTTTTACAAAATGGCTCACAATCTACAGACCATTTTATTGTTACTGTTAGTACCGTAAAATAAAGCTCAGATTAGTGCCTGGGGCCCTTATTTAATGTTCTGTGGCAAGAGGGGGTGCTAATTCACGCTAATTTTGTTATCAATTTTTGGTCTCAAAATGACACTATCTTTATATTTTCTAGTTAACCCAAACGGTAACATACAAAAATTCAAAAAACGTCATAGAAAATTACTTTTTGTGAAACTTGAAATGTTCCCAAGATGTTTTCGAGTTGCCTGTCAGAAATTTATTGTACCTCTTCAAATTATAGAACAGTTCTAACAATGCGTTTGGCATCATGAAATGTTTTGTATGGAAAGGAAAGCCTGCGGTTAATGTTCTGACTATTATGAATGTCACACTCATTTAAAGTACCGTATACGTCTTGTATATCGTACCAAGTACAGGACCTCGTTTTTTCTGCAAGGGGGTAGGGGGGATTATTCCAAATTTTGAGCCTTAGGAGGGGCGCTAATTTGAAGTGGGGCATTTATTTGAAGCTGAGTGGTAATTCGAGCATTTAGGGACAATATAGTTGTAGACATAGATAATTTGTAAAAACTACATGTTTACAATAAGTTTATGATATATTACTTTTCAGAAAGGATAAATGGATATGTAAGGTAGGTTTGATATTATTGCATTACTAGAAAATTATGACATGTGTTACATGCAAGTTTCATCTGTAGTTCAGGGCTGTGCTCTGTCCGAGCCCTGTGGCCCCTGGTACCTGACTTTTGCTCTTGGGTGACTAGAAAATCTTATTTTTTTCATACAAATCCAAGGCTGTGTTCTAAGGGAAATTAAAGGGAGCCCAGTGTTCTGAAACTGTGAAATCTAGGGTGTCTAGAAAATGATTTGTATGAAAAAGACTAAGATTTTCTGGTCGCCCAAGAGCAAAAGTTAGGGGCCAGGGACCACTGGGCTGACTGCTAGAACACAGCCCTGGATTTTACAGGTTCAGAGCACTGGGCTACCTTCAATTTTCTCTTAGAGCGCATTCTTATAGTTCAGTAATGGTATAGAACAAACTAACTGTGCTCCATCCAGGATGACATCTTAATGACTTCACTAATAATTGTGTTTTATATGACCCTTTGAGACATATGTTCACTCGGGATATATAAATTTTTTCTTGAACTTTGCGAAACAAATACATTCATAGATAAAATTACAGGTCTTTATAGAAGAATTCAGACGTCAAGTAATGGCAATAATGACAAACAATCTTTTAGCTGATTGGCACCTGAGGCTCAAGTTTGTGGATGACACTTTTGCCATAGAAATACTACCCAGAAAGTCCGCTTAATTCCGCCGCATCTGACATTCACAATTTTTCTATGGATCACAAGATAAGACTAAATCTTATTAAATATAATGTAAGGAGATGTTAATTAACTTTACTCTCAGATCACAAAATTACATCTTATACCTGAAATTTGTAGACTTTTAACTGTGTTTTCACAATTCTTGTGAACTTTGACATTTATTTTCTCGGACTCCCATGAGAAATTTTCTTTGGTGTTATTTCAGAGAACTAATTACATCTTTATTGGTAGAAAAATGTAAAAAAAAATGCAATATTCTTTAAATTATTCTGGTATGTACAAGGTTTTTGTCCACTGAAAATTAAAATTACTCAGTTTCCTGGTGGATTCTGTCTTAATAAATTACATCCAAAATCACTAACGAATATCTTTGTTGTGTGCTGTTGTAGCTTGGGTATCATCTATTCAGTGTTCACTGTTGCTAACTGGCTTGCACCATCTTTTGTTGGTTTATTTGGACCAAGAGTATCCATGATAGTTGGTGGCATCTGTTATGCGTAAGACATTTTAATTTAACTTCTGAATTCTGTAATAATTTTTGATAGGGTGAGTGGATAAAAATCCCTATGAAGAGTCTTGTGATCAAAATGTTACATTCTTCCTTTGGTTCATTCATGAAAACTATTACTGAAAGTTTAAGAGTCTTAGAGTTACTGTATTTACAAGTCATAAGGGGCTTTTTCACTAGGCACCGATTCCATTATAGTGTTACCTTTGGGATAGCTATTAAATAAATATTAACTATTAATATTAATAATTAAGGAAACAATTTTTAAACTATCTTATTATATAAAATATGTTGTTTGGCAAATATCTATTGTATAGTTTAAAACAAATCCTGTTAAATTAATGTATTTAACTCTTTCACTGCTGAACTGTCCGTAACCACCTGTGTGGATCATTGTACCTTGCATTGTATCTGACATTAGCAGTTCAATAGTCATGGGCCAGCGGAAAGAAATCTTAGAAAGTTAATTTCTGGGCAAAATTTCTCAGAGCAAATGGAATAATAATGCATAAAAGAGCTCTGAAAAAGTTAGTGAATAAACAAAATAAGTAAACAGCCGAAAATACATGTAAATATGGTAAACAAGTAGGAAGCGTCTTCAAGCTTTGGACATTAATTATTTTTTCACAGTTGCAGTGCAATTATGATTAGTAGTTAATAATTATTTATGAAGTTGTGATTTTGAAACAATCACTCATGTTAATGTAATGTTATTATATTTTTATCCTATACAGTTTGTTTATTGCAAGCCTGATTGAACCAAGGGCCTGGAGTTTGTATCTTGGGTCCATTATTATTGGATATGGAGCAAGTGGTAGGTCAATTGAGTTATAAACTAAGTAGATTCAAGAAGAGAGGCCAGTGTAGTGAACCTGTAAAATCTAGGATGCCCAGTGTATGACTTATATGAAAAAAGGAAGATTTTACACTGGCCCGAGAGCATAAGTTGGCCGCCAGGGGCCACCGTGCTTTTGCTAGAACACAGCCCTGCAGAATAAAAAATTAATGTAGTGTGCGATTTTAACGACTGTTTCACAATCAAGTCACAAGTGGAATGTTATGAAACATTATTTTGTTATTATTTTATTTTTAGTAATATGGACTGGTCAAGGAAATTTTTTGACTATAAATTCAACTCCTGACACAATTTCCAGAAACAGTGGAATATTTTGGGCACTGCTACAGTGCAGGTATGTGTGGAGTTTCTTACAGTAGCTGGGCCAACTTGGAAATGAGGACTAAACAAAGGAAGTTATGAATCAATCTAATTGTAGGTAAAATCAAAATTAACCTGAAATCAAATGTAAATTGTAACGTATATACCATAGTTATGATTAATTTAGACTTTTAACAAAGCTTTATGTTTTTGTTGTAGCTTGCTCTTTGGAAATATGTATGTCTACTTTCAGTTTAAGGGTGAAGAAACAGCAATAAGTAAGTAGGTGGAGTACTAATATTATGATTATCATTGATCATTCAAAATATTTTACTGTTTCTGATTGGCACAAAGCCTCTGGCTAATTCTTCATAACCAACTGGCATTGACCAAATTTGGAACTTGCGAGTAATATACCTTTGATTCAATGGAATACTGACTTGGAAAGGAGGTTGGTCAGATTATTGACTTTGAAAGGAGGTTGCTTGGGCAATAGACCAGCGATCAACTTTGTTTCCAGGTGCAGCAGCTTAACTGTTTATTCGTGAGTGAGCTAAAGAAAATGTTGTTCACGTGGCTATCCAAAAACGAAATACGTGTAGCTGAATTTCTGACCGAAACTGAATGGAAGGAAAGCAAGAATATGCAAAACATATCGCTCAGTAGATGCTATCCACTTTTTGAGGAGTATCTGCAAAAAAATACCTGTGTTTATAATTGTTTTGAAACTGTGCCGAAGGCCAAAGTTTAGAAGAAAGTCTACCAGAAGGTAAGCTTATTAAGAACTTAAAAATATTTTGGATGAATAATAAACAATTGTTGAATTCGGCTTTCGTATGATGTGAAGAATTATGCTGATCTCGGAGGATGTTATCCACCTGGGCCTTCAGCCTTGGTGAATAACATCCCCTTCGATCTGCATAATTCTTCACATCCTACTCAGCCTCATTCGATAATAATTGCTTAATGTAACAAGGTCTTTTAATGGGCAACAGCAACAAGTGACAAAACTGGTGTCACTACACTAGTAAGTGAATCAATTTCAGTGCTGAACTATGACAGCAACAATGACTATATACACTGGAATAACAGAATGCAATGGGAAAAAAAATGCAACTACAACAGTGCCAATAACAGTCCCTTTCTCCCATGAAAAGTGAATTACACAGTCAAGGTCAACATCCTCTACCTTTATTCATAAAGCAGTGCGAGTTTTTTTAAGTCTCACCTGAATTGCACAAAGAGTGAAGGGAGGTCTCCAGTGCTAATGGCTGAATATGTCACCACTAAAGGGCAGTAGAGACTCAGCTTGGTAGTCTGCCAGTGTTACCTATTTCAGCCATAATTTTTAACTTTTACAAAATGGCTCACAATCTACAGACCATTTTATTGTTACTGTTAGTACCGTAAAATAAAGCTCAGATTAGTGCCTGGGGCCCTTATTTAATGTTCTGTGGCAAGAGGGGGTGCTAATTCACGCTAATTTTGTTATCAATTTTTGGTCTCAAAATGACACTATCTTTATATTTTCTAGTTAACCCAAACGGTAACATACAAAAATTCAAAAAACGTCATAGAAAATTACTTTTTGTGAAACTTGAAATGTTCCCAAGATGTTTTCGAGTTGCCTGTCAGAAATTTATTGTACCTCTTCAAATTATAGAACAGTTCTAACAATGCGTTTGGCATCATGAAATGTTTTGTATGGAAAGGAAAGCCTGCGGTTAATGTTCTGACTATTATGAATGTCACACTCATTTAAAGTACCGTATACGTCTTGTATATCGTACCAAGTACAGGACCTCGTTTTTTCTGCAAGGGGGTAGGGGGGATTATTCCAAATTTTGAGCCTTAGGAGGGGCGCTAATTTGAAGTGGGGCATTTATTTGAAGCTGAGTGGTAATTCGAGCATTTAGGGACAATATAGTTGTAGACATAGATAATTTGTAAAAACTACATGTTTACAATAAGTTTATGATATATTACTTTTCAGAAAGGATAAATGGATATGTAAGGTAGGTTTGATATTATTGCATTACTAGAAAATTATGACATGTGTTACATGCAAGTTTCATCTGTAGTTCAGGGCTGTGCTCTGTCCGAGCCCTGTGGCCCCTGGTACCTGACTTTTGCTCTTGGGTGACTAGAAAATCTTATTTTTTTCATACAAATCCAAGGCTGTGTTCTAAGGGAAATTAAAGGGAGCCCAGTGTTCTGAAACTGTGAAATCTAGGGTGTCTAGAAAATGATTTGTATGAAAAAGACTAAGATTTTCTGGTCGCCCAAGAGCAAAAGTTAGGGGCCAGGGACCACTGGGCTGACTGCTAGAACACAGCCCTGGATTTTACAGGTTCAGAGCACTGGGCTACCTTCAATTTTCTCTTAGAGCGCATTCTTATAGTTCAGTAATGGTATAGAACAAACTAACTGTGCTCCATCCAGGATGACATCTTAATGACTTCACTAATAATTGTGTTTTATATGACCCTTTGAGACATATGTTCACTCGGGATATATAAATTTTTTCTTGAACTTTGCGAAACAAATACATTCATAGATAAAATTACAGGTCTTTATAGAAGAATTCAGACGTCAAGTAATGGCAATAATGACAAACAATCTTTTAGCTGATTGGCACCTGAGGCTCAAGTTTGTGGATGACACTTTTGCCATAGAAATACTACCCAGAAAGTCCGCTTAATTCCGCCGCATCTGACATTCACAATTTTTCTATGGATCACAAGATAAGACTAAATCTTATTAAATATAATGTAAGGAGATGTTAATTAACTTTACTCTCAGATCACAAAATTACATCTTATACCTGAAATTTGTAGACTTTTAACTGTGTTTTCACAATTCTTGTGAACTTTGACATTTATTTTCTCGGACTCCCATGAGAAATTTTCTTTGGTGTTATTTCAGAGAACTAATTACATCTTTATTGGTAGAAAAATGTAAAAAAAAATGCAATATTCTTTAAATTATTCTGGTATGTACAAGGTTTTTGTCCACTGAAAATTAAAATTACTCAGTTTCCTGGTGGATTCTGTCTTAATAAATTACATCCAAAATCACTAACGAATATCTTTGTTGTGTGCTGTTGTAGCTTGGGTATCATCTATTCAGTGTTCACTGTTGCTAACTGGCTTGCACCATCTTTTGTTGGTTTATTTGGACCAAGAGTATCCATGATAGTTGGTGGCATCTGTTATGCGTAAGACATTTTAATTTAACTTCTGAATTCTGTAATAATTTTTGATAGGGTGAGTGGATAAAAATCCCTATGAAGAGTCTTGTGATCAAAATGTTACATTCTTCCTTTGGTTCATTCATGAAAACTATTACTGAAAGTTTAAGAGTCTTAGAGTTACTGTATTTACAAGTCATAAGGGGCTTTTTCACTAGGCACCGATTCCATTATAGTGTTACCTTTGGGATAGCTATTAAATAAATATTAACTATTAATATTAATAATTAAGGAAACAATTTTTAAACTATCTTATTATATAAAATATGTTGTTTGGCAAATATCTATTGTATAGTTTAAAACAAATCCTGTTAAATTAATGTATTTAACTCTTTCACTGCTGAACTGTCCGTAACCACCTGTGTGGATCATTGTACCTTGCATTGTATCTGACATTAGCAGTTCAATAGTCATGGGCCAGCGGAAAGAAATCTTAGAAAGTTAATTTCTGGGCAAAATTTCTCAGAGCAAATGGAATAATAATGCATAAAAGAGCTCTGAAAAAGTTAGTGAATAAACAAAATAAGTAAACAGCCGAAAATACATGTAAATATGGTAAACAAGTAGGAAGCGTCTTCAAGCTTTGGACATTATTTATTTTTTCACAGTTGCAGTGCAATTATGATTAGTAGTTAATAATTATTTATGAAGTTGTGATTTTGAAACAATCACTCATGTTAATGTAATGTTATTATATTTTTATCCTATACAGTTTGTTTATTGCAAGCCTCATTGAACCAAGGGCCTGGAGTTTGTATCTTGGGTCCATTATTATTGGATATGGAGCAAGCAGTAGGTCAATTGAGTTATAAATTAAGTAGATTCAAGAAGAGAGGCCAGTGCAGTCAACCTGTAAAATCTAGGATGCCCAGTGTATGACTTATATGAAAAAAGGAAGATTTTACACTGGCCCGAGAGCATAAGTTGGCCGCCAGGGGCCACCGTGCTTTTGCTAGAACACAGCCCTGCAGAATAAAAAATTAATGTAGTGTGCGATTTTAACGACTGTTTCACAATCAAGTCACAAGTGGAATGTTATGAAACATTATTTTGTTATTATTTTATTTTTAGTAATATGGACTGGTCAAGGAAATTTTTTGACTATAAATTCAACTCCTGACACAATTTCCAGAAACAGTGGAATATTTTGGGCACTGCTACAGTGCAGGTATGTGTGGAGTTTCTTTCAGTAGCTGGGCCAACTTGGAAATGAGGACTAAACAAAGGAAGTTATGAATCAATCTAATTGTAGGTAAAATTAAAATTAACCTGAAATCAAATGTAAATTGTAACGTATATACCAGAGTTATGATTAATTTAGACTTTTAACAAAGCTTTATGTTTTTGTTGTAGCTTGCTCTTTGGAAATATGTATGTCTACTTTCAGTTTAAGGGTGAAGAAACAGCAATAAGTAAGTAGGTGGAGTACTAATATTATGATTATCATTGATCATTCAAAATATTTTACTGTTTCTGATTGGCACAAAGCCTCTGGCTAATTCTTCATAACCAACTGGCATTGACCAAATTTGGAACTTGCGAGTAATATACCTTTGATTCAATGGAATACTGACTTGGAAAGGAGGTTGGTCAGATTATTGACTTTGAAAGGAGGTTGCTTGGGCAATAGACCAGCGATCAACTTTGTTTCCAGGTGCAGCAGCTTAACTGTTTATTCGTGAGTGAGCTAAAGAAAATGTTGTTCACGTGGCTATCCAAAAACGAAATACGTGTAGCTGAATTTCTGACCGAAACTGAATGGAAGGAAAGCAAGAATATGCAAAACATATCGCTCAGTAGATGCTATCCACTTTTTGAGGAGTATCTGCAAAAAAATACCTGTGTTTATAATTATTTTGAAACTGTGCCGAAGGCCAAAGTTTAGAAGAAAGTCTACCAGCAGGTAAGCTTATTAAGAACTTAAAAATATTTTGGATGAATAATAAACAATTGTTGAATTCGGCTTTCGTATGATGTGAAGAATTATGCTGATCTCGGAGGATGTTATCCACCTGGGCCTTCAGCCTTGGTGAATAACATCCCCTTCGATCTGCATAATTCTTCACATCCTACTCAGCCTCATTCGATAATAATTGCTTAATGTAACAAGGTCTTTTAATGGGCAACAGCAACAAGTGACAAAACTGGTGTCACTACACTAGTAAGTGAATCAATTTCAGTGCTGAACTATGACAGCAACAATGACTATATACACTGGAATAACAGAATGCAATGGGAAAAAAAATAGCGGACAAAAAACAAGCAAATCATCCAGTTGGCCATGGCAATTAAGTATTAGTATGACACTTGCACTGTTGTGTTAACCTACATGTTTATCTATTAATTAAGGTAAAGAAAGTTGACCATTTTGTCATTTTTTACAAGGTGACAGTGTAAGAAGAACAGTATATACAGTATTCACCACTGTTTGTGGCCTAGGAATATGCCTTTTATTCCTCCTGCGCAAACCAAGAGATGTGGTGAGTGTAACATGCCTGCTGTGGTGACCTGTTTGATTTAATTATCCAAAACCAGAGATTACACCATGCCAACAAGGAATTGTATTATTTGGCTGGAAAATTCAAATTTAGACTTGTTTCACTATGCAGGTACAATGCACCTACCCATATCTAATTTTTTCCAGGGTTTTTGGCATTTTTGTGGAAACATTTGCCTTGGGGGAAAAAAGAATGAAAAAAGTGCTCTTTATTTGAGGGTTAATGTATTTAGCATGAGAGGAACAATTGGGGACACTATTTTTATGTCTCCTACTGGAGACGGGGTCGCCATTTTACTTGGTCACCCGAGCCACGTGAAGGTCTAGGCATTTGCAGGACAAAGGCAGTACTTTCATTTCTCAGTCATTTTTAAGACCCTGAGTATTGGTCTGGTCCTGGGAATCAAACCCATGACCTCCCGCTCTGTAGTCAAGTGTTCTACTGACTGAGCTAATCCTGCTGCGGTTAAAGGCATAGCATTTGTACAAGCTCCGCAATATAAAGGAGGAACAGAAGTAAAAGAAAAAAATTGAATAGTCCTTTGTGAGTACAGTATACCCACAGAACTTGGCAAGTGAGCATTGCTGGGTTAACATGTAGACTAAGATTACGTGCTTACTTTTAACTTGTTTTCACAGATACCAGTAAGCAGGGATGAACAAGACAGGGAACTGAGTCAAAATATCAGGTAAATACATACGTAATTGGAAATTAATGTTCCTCTTGTGGTGACTACAGGCTTTACCTGTTAATTATCATAGACTGCACATTTTGCACAGATAATTTTGTTTTCCTGCCTATAGGGATGAACAAGACATGAACTTGATCAGTCAAAATATCAGGTGAACAATTGTTTACGAATTGTTCAGCCATAGAACTTCTGTACATGCCAGCTTTTATCACAGTGTTGGTTGACCCGATGCAGGTCAGGCAGCCATTCTTTGGGGGATTGATTTAAACTTGACACTAGCGTATGACAAGAAAAATAACTGTCCATATCTGTTTGGTTTAAGTGCAAGACACTTTATACCATTTTAACACCACAAACGACTTCTGTGGTAATTGATTGTTTGCAACGCTCAGCTTCTTTTGTGAACACAATAATCTAGAAACTATGCTTCAATGTCATGCACAATATGTTGCCCTTTGATCTCTAGAATCTTCTCTACTTAAAAGTAGCCATACTTTACACTTTATGGTAGCTGGTATTAGCTAAATGCCAAAAGGACAATTATAATATCTTGATAAACACGTATACATGTATGTGTATATTATGTGCCATTTATATGTCAAATATTTTTCTTTAAAAAAGCACAGACTGAAGATATGTGATATTCAAGGACAAAATGTTAAAGCTCCATCCCTGGCATGGACACTGTCTCCCATGCAGGGAACTCACAGTAATGATAAATGTCCAACAAATGCCAATGTTGCTTTTTATTGAGTGAGCAATAAACTGCCACCAGACAAATAACAAGCTATTTACCGGTAGACTGAAAACGTAAATTTGTAGTCTTTGATACATGTATTACAGTGCAACTGTGTTGGTATTTACGGTAACGCAGCTATATTATGTAACTGTTATTTACTTGTTTGTTTGATTTTATTCACATCAGAAGGCCAAACAGTGTTAACTCCGCAAGAAGAACAGCCTTAGAATCATTAAGTAAGTGATTCATTTCTCCAGGGACACAGAAATTGGCACATAATAATTTGTACTCTAGTACTACAGGCAAAGGAATCATAATGATTGGCAGTTTCAAATAATTTTTACTTAATAAACTTGTATGATTTTTTTTTTTCTACAGAAATTGCAGTCAAGTTATTTTTCACAAAGGAAATGTTGTTGCTTAGCTTGTGTTTTGCATATACAGGTATGTACATTCAATTATTTGAATAATCTCAGTGATCTGACTCAAGCACTCAGATGTTGGTGCATTATCATCATTGTTCAGTTGCTGCACAGGCAGTCCCAGTCTTGAGCAAGCTCTGCAATTTGTTTGGGTTGAAGGATGTTATGTAAAAATCCTTCATGATCAGCAGTTGTTAGATGTATTATTTAAGGATAGACATTGCTTTGTTGATGGCCTTTGGTCTTTATTGGCCATGAGTTCTTCAATGTTATTTTTTATGCATATAGAGCATAGAATAATAATAGTAATTATTATATAGCACTATTTACATGAAAATAAGCAATAGCACTTTACAATAATTCCTTTAGTGAAAAATCTTATCTAAAATGATAAAAATATACAAAGTAAAATGTAAAATACAATTGAATAAAAAAATAATTAATTAATTATTTAATAAAAAATAAAATTAGTCTAACCTGCCCGAAAAAGGTGAGTCTTTGCATTTAAAAAATATTTAATGACTGAATATTGTACAATTCGGCGGGCAAACTATTCCACAGACATGGTGCTGCAGCAGCAGCATGAAAGGATCTGGCACTGAGCATAGAAAGCATTTTCTCTTAGGGCAGCTCCAGTAAAAGACTTTTGTTTGATCTAAGATTGTAAGAGGACTTCGGCCTGACACTAACTAAATCACTAATATAACTAATATTAACTAATAACTAATATTATTATGGGTGAATGATACATGTGGGTAAGCATTATTTTCTTCTGCTGTTTTAAAGTTAGGGTGTTGGCCAGTTGTGCAACTGGTGAACCTTATTTGAAATTCTCCTTAACTCAACCACTTGTCTTTCCGTTTGGTGTGATGGGCTAAATACAACCTGTAATCTGTAATTGTATTTTTTGTACTTAATTGTATTTTTTGTACTATAGGTTTTGAACTAACCTTTTTCAGTGGTGTGTATGGCACATGTGTAGGTAAGTTATAAAAGTTTACATCCCACTAGTGAGGGGTTTTGCTCACTTTACTGTCAGATGTTGTAACTTTTTTATTGCACTTTTATCTCACTGCAAGAAAACTGGAAATGAAATAGGTACATCGCGATCTTAGCAGTGTTGCTCTAACCAGGCCGCAGTCTTGTTGGGGTTCTGCTTAAAAGTGTATACAGGGCAGTAAAGCCAAGTGGATGCATCCCCAAGTGATGGTGCCTGATAGGCTTGGAAGTTTTTTGTAGCGGACAAGCAAGGAAACATTTTGGGATAACTAAAAACAGTTCATACACATAAAGTTATGTTGTTTTTAATAAGCAACATTGACCTTTGATGGTCGTGCATAATGTGGTGTAGAGGCATGTGACTACTTTCTTCAATCACAAAACATTTTTCAACCTTGAGTAGTAACCTCAGACCATTATTTTGGAGTATAGGGCCGTGACATGGTTGTCGTGGTAAACCACCACCTATTTGTCCCCCTTTTTTCTCTTTTTGCCCTTATTTTTTCAGAAGAACGGTCCATGGGGCTACCCAAATAAAATTCTTTGTGTAAAGAACACTGCAGCACAATGTTGGGAATTGGCTGAGATTTTATAATCAACCATCAGAAATAATCGAGTTGACCCAGCTGATCGCTCATCAAGTATAATCAGAAAGTCTGATATCCTTATTGGAATTCCTTTTTTTTTTTTTCACCTCTGTGCAATTCAAAGTAATACATATAAACTTCAGATGTTTGGACTCAATGCTACTTTCAAATTACATGTAAAAACAGACCTCATTGTGCCATGATTTAGAACACAACAAAAAGATGCAAAATGCATCAGAAAACGATCATCAGTGGATTATAGCTGCATTATGAGTTTTTTTTTAAAGAAAACATGAAGTTTTGATATTCACAGTCATTGACATTTGTATTGTGTTATCTAATTTAGGCAACACACTTCTCTTTCACAATTCCAAGCGTCAGATTGGACTTGTAGGAATGCTTATTGGTTGTGGTGAGATAACTGGTTAGTGAAAGGAGTATGTAGTTTATTGATTCCATTTTCTGATTGTTACCATTACATTACAACGAACTTTCCCCTCTATAACTTCCCTTCCACAACAATGGATAACGTCAGTGTTGCATCCTGCCTCATTGAGAAAACATTGAACATTTGGGTTTCCTTTTATGATCCTAATGTACATAACCTTAGGACATGCAAAACTCCGTTCAGTTTCTAGGCTCAGGGTGGCACCTGAGAATTCAAAGGATAATTTTTGAAACTGAAAATAAATGTAAAAAGCACGATTATAATAATTATCTGTTTCCCACTACAACACCCCTACTTTAAAGCTCTGTGAACTAGATAATACATCTCGGAGCTGGAAAAGCAGGACATTAACAACGATGTAAGTTGCTGTCTTGAAGACTTGAAGCCTGAATAGGAAACCAGAAATAAGAGAAAAAAACCCATCGAACTGTAACAAGCTACATGTCTCTAAATTCCGTCCACATGACAAAAGACAAAATACTGTGGAAGGACCAAATTCTAAATTCTACTGTATTTTTTCAGTAATCATGCAGCATAACCAATGGAGTCAAATAGTGATTGTTTTTGGGTAGAACTGCTTAATTATTAGAAATATTATGACAGCTAGGATGATTGATTTTTCTTGCCACATTTTCTTAACAGGAGGGTTAGTGTTTGGCATATTTGGCAAGAGAAGTAATAAGTTTGGTAGAGAGCCTATTGTACTTTTTGGGATGATTGTTCACTGGATCTGCTTCGTCTTGATCTTTCTTAATCTTCCTGACATATCTCCCATACAAGCAGTTACAACTGCAGATGATTACAATGTATTTTCTAAACCCAGGTAAGAAAAGTACTTTGGCATTAACATGTTTATTTTCATGCCATTTTGAGGATGGGATTTACCGGTATTTGAAGGCCGCACGTATGAATTAAGAAACCTCTTATTTGCTTTCCTGCGAGCAGAGGTTTCTTTTGAACTTGGTTTCCGCAATTGCAAAATCGTTCACATCATTTGGATTCGCGTAGAAGGCTCTTTTACTTCTCCTAGAAGGGACGAGGAATTAGCGGGGGAGGCAAGCCAACTACACCATGCCAGTGACAGCAATGCAAACGACTTTGTAAGAGCTGAAAACCATGCCGGCAACAAACCTTACTGGACAGGGTACTGATTTGCCAGTGACAATGAAAGCACTCTATGTTGTTTCAGTCTTTTTCTTTGTTTTATTAAAAAATGATAATGTCAGTGATACATGTTTAAGTAAGAGAAGTTACTTTAAAAATGAAGTTCTACGTCGTTGTTTTGATCAAAGCAAATGCCAACAGCTCCCCAATTAAAATATCAGCTGTATTATTTGCACTGCAATTGTTGAAAATGTTAGTGTAAGCCTTTTTTCCGTGCTAACAACTCTGATTTTATATAATTGCAGTTTACCGGTGGCAATTCTTTGTGGTTTCCTGTTAGGACTTGGTGATAGCAGTTTTAATACACAGGTATTGCGATAATAACAATTAATTTTCAGAGATTGTTCCCTTCATAGACCCCTAAGCAGTACTTACCAAACCCTTCCACAATTTTTCAACTTTTTACATGGGCCAGTTAGAGAAAATCTGTCGACGCCAGCGGAAAGAGCGCCTTAGAATTAGTAAAATTACCACATTTGAAAGTGGTATCTTAAGCGAGGGAAGATATAGGTCCGCAAAGTTGTGGAAATTTACAGACGTTTGTTTTTATTTTATTTTATTAGATTCGCCAATTATTGGTAGGGTCACGGCAACAGCATGACGCCAATTACTGCGGGCCCGTAACAGTCCCTCCCCCCATGAGAGATAGACCACCACACCGGGGACTACGTCCCCTACTCTTTACGAACAGTGGGTGGGTTCTTTAACGTCCCACAGAATTTATATATGCAAGGGTTGTGAGACGGGGCCTACGGTTTATCGTCCTTATCCGAGAAGACTAGAAAGTCTAAACGTTTGTAGATGTCTTTACAAAGGCAGCACTTTCTCCTTACTTATTTAAAGACCCTGAGTGTTGGTTCGGCCGGGACTTGAACCAGCGGCCTCCCGCTCGGCAAAGCGGCGTTTATCCAACGGAGCTAACCGGGCGGCGGTTGTATGGTGGAGTGGGGCAAGTTTGTGCCCCCCATCATACAAACGTCTGTAAAATTTCGCGACTTTGAGGAGCTATGTCTTGGTTAGTTTTCAACAAATCACTTTCAAACCTGGCAATTTTTACTTATTTTAGAGCGCTCTTTCCACCGGTGCCGACGGATTTTCCCAAAGTTGCCCACGTTAAAAGTTGAAAAAAGCCTTGTTATTTCGTGAATAAAAGCCTGGGAAAAAGATATTCCATCATAAACAACTACCACAATATCTAATATAGAACAATGTTTTGAACTATTAGCATCATACTTTCTGAGATAGATCTTGGGGAAGGAAAGCAGCAAAGTATTAACTTTTTGTGAGAGTAAAAAGTTATTAACTTATTCGTATGTGTAATCAAATGGTGACGAGTGAAATTAGGGAATAATTTTACGCGCGTTTTGTCCAAATCCTTATAATTTCTCGAGCCTTTAGGCGAGGGAAATTATTAGGATTTGGACAAAACGCAAGTGAAATTATTCCCTAATTTCACGAGTATACCATTTGATTACCTATTAATATCATGGGTGACGAATTACGTTAGCTATATTGGTTTTTTGACATGTTTATCCTGGGTCGTATCGATCGAGAACTCCTACACTTTCTCGAACGTTTAGAGCTTAAACATAGAATTAGAATCCTTCTTGATGTGCTCTTTCGTGTGTTCAGGTTTTCTAAAGCGTCTTTTTGTGTCCTGACATCTTCATTCACGACATTTTAAAACTTCGTCGCCATCTTGACACTGAGACGTACGTTAGGTTGCTATGGCAATTTAGTAATTTCACATGTGAAATTACAAATTAACGCTGAAATTTCGCGCCATANGATGTGCTCTTTCGTGTGTTCAGGTTTTCTAAAGCGTCTTTTTGTGCCCTGACATCTTCATTCACGACATTTTAAAACTTCGTCGCCATCTTGACACTGAGACGTACGTTAGGTTGCTATGGCAATTTAGTAATTTCACATGTGAAATTACAAATTAACGCTGAAATTTCGCGCCATAATTAGGGAGTAATTCGTCACCTATGATATTAAAACTGGAACTGCCGTAATCACTCATGATTGATATCCCTTGCACTGCTTGTGATTATCATCAGTTTCAACGGTCATAGACAACTCAGTGTGGAATAAAAGCAACGCAAAATACGATAAAATTAGTATAGGTAATAGCATGATGAGTAGTGGTATTTATGCCAAATATCACGTACAAAGTATGCTATTATTTGTTTATACTACTATCCGCAAAAGGTTTGTAATTTTCACATGTAGATATTTCAAATTAAGCTGAAATACCACTGCTCTAAGCCAATTTCTCATGTAGTGGTATAAACCCGAGAATTCTAATGAAACTCTTGTTGCACTACCCACCTGCACTTTCTTTGGTTTTGCCAACACCTTTCCTCTTGCTGAAGTGAAGCTTAACCCTTTAAACCCTAAGATGCAAAATTTGAATTCTCATTTGTTGCCCCTATTCATTTCCTACAGAAGTAGTGGGGAGAAGTTGTTAAAATATCAAACAAATTCATCTTGTGTGATAATGTCCGTAATTCTCATGACCACTCTGTTTTACAAAGCATTGATATTACAAGGAGAAGTGTGATACTGATCACTCTTAGGGCTTAAAGGGTTGAAAAAAATGCCTAGCAAAAGACAAAGCGGGGCTAAAAGAGTGAAAGAAGCACAGAGAACAGAAAGCGGAGGGTAAAAGGTTAGGGGAAGTGCCAATATTCATCTCAATTTTGCTTTCTGTGCATACCCGAACTTTTCAAGGAGATACAGTATCAGGAACAGAAGGCAGCATAATGGAGATCTTAAAACTAAAAAACAGTATTTTTGGAAGTTTCTGTTTTTTTTTTGACCAGATAAAGACACGAAACAGCTGTAAAAGCTAGTTTCAAAGGCGTTTTGTCAAAATATTATTTTTATGAGCAAATGGATGAAGATTTATAGGGGGTTATAGTCGAATAATAATTATGTTGTAGTTCAATTTTATCCGTACTCTGAATAATTATATTTTTCTTCGTTCAAAGTCATCATTTCACGTGTTAAGTTACCTAACGCCGTAGGAAATTAAATTAGTAATAGCCAAGGCTAAAGCTAAACCACAACACATGCAACTCTAATTCTACTGTTCAATTTAAAACTAAGTTAAACCGTCATATTTTATTTCTGAGATCATAATTTTTTTTTTCAGATTTGAAAAACGTTTTTTTGTGCCTTATGTTCTCGTTTTTGTCAGATTTACTCCATTTTAGGGTCTCTCTATGAAGACGATAGTGCACCGGCATTTGCTTTGTTTAAATTTGTTCAGGTTTGTTAAACTAGTTAACTTATATGTCACCAATCTGTTGCAAAGTTCATTTCAGAAAAATGTTTTCTTGGTCAGATTTATCAGGCTTTTAAAATATTCTACTAGTTGATCAGGGTCTAAAAGTGAAAATCATTGGGTGGTGCAATATGTTTATGCTTTGAGACTGTACCACAAAATTAAAAGGTCAAGTCCACAAAATATCACACCTTTATTGAGATTCCACATCATAAAAGCATAGGACTGTTGCTACAAAACCCTAGTTTGGATGCTAGTGCAGCAATCAGAGGGTTCTCCACCAATGTTGCATTATTTATTTATTTGGTAAATGCAAAATTGTTTAAAAGTTGAACAAGGAAATGATACAGTGGCACGGTATCTACTTTTCAAACTCAGACATCGGGTTTGAAGTACAAGTTGTGTATATTATACTACTGTTAATACTCTGTTTTTTTTTTGCAGTCCCTTACAGCAGCAATTGGATTCTTCTACAGTCTAGAACTTCATCTTAAGTGGCAGCTTCTTATTCTGGTGAGCATTGAAACGTTAAAGAAGGGTGATCCAAGATTTTCAGAAAGTTTAGGGAAAGAAAATCAAACGATCAATTTTGGAATTTGAAACCCTTCAAGCCCCATTCTACACTTCTGTTGACTTAAAAGGGCAGTTCATATGAAGTAATTTATTAGAGTTTTTAGGTACGGTTTAAGGTAGCTGTGACGTGTGTAGGCATGGCACTGTCTGTTATCCAATCATGTTTTGGCTTAATTGACCACTCCAGAAAAGACCATAACATACCATAATGCTCTTTGTTTGTCACGCCAGAATTTTGCATAAGCATTGTCTTCAGTTTCTCTTGGGAGTTAAAAATGACCCCAAGAGAAACTGAAAACAATGCTTATGCAAAATTTTGGGGTGACAAACAAAGAGCATTATGGTATGTTAAGGTATTTCTGGAGTGGCCAATTAAAGGAGAGCGACAAAACCTGTCATTGTCAGACTTGTAGTGCTGTCAAGGAAATGATGCTTTAACGTTTCTCATCCACCCTTTCCCTCCATGCCCTTCCTCTTCAATCCAAGGTAAGGGTGGATTTCCTTATGTAAATGGGGTCTGTACACACCAGTGTCTTTTCCACAAATGAATTCTGATCCTGTTTGCCTTTTTTAACAGATAATTTCTTCATTTAGTGGAACACTTGGTTTCTTTTTGGTGGAATGGAAAGCAAGGAGAATGGCTAATGCAGGATATGGTCCCCTTAATTAACGATCCACTTTAGTAATATATAATAATGTCATGAGAAAAGCAATGTATGCATTGTTCAATTTCCTTTTTTTTATGCCATTCAGTCAGTAACAAATAATGAATTTATCCATTTCAGTTCGTGGGTGGCCAGTGTTCTGGCAGTATGATTATACAGGGGATTTAAAAGAGAGTCAGCATTATACCCCAGCCTTTTTGAAGAGGGACGGTGGTCACCATCTTCTTAAATTGGTTTAGTTATACAGATAGGAACTCCCTAAGACAACTGAACTGAGACTCAGACAGGAGAGTACTAAGACGCTGTCATACTTACATATCTTGCTGTCTTATGTATTTGTAGTTGCAGTCGGCGAACATGCCCTTGTTAAATATGTAGGGTCCTTGGAATTATGGAGCAGCGGCTGTAACATTTTTCATTGACATTTTAAATTTGTCAGGGCGTATTCTGTACAAAGAGATAGTGGATGGCGTCTAAAACCGCTTTAAACAGTTTCCTTGATATGTCCTAAAGGATGTTGTTCAGTAAAGTTCAGTTTTGGGTACAGGTTACCCACAAATAGAAAGAAATTTCCAGCATTTTTCTAAGAATAATCAGATGGTTTATTCTGCTGCTCCACTTGAGGTTTGTGCTGAAAAGGAAATTATTACTGTCCGTGATTGCTCAGAGTTGGTAGATAGTAAAATTTTGTTACACTCGTACACTCCCCTTGAAATTTGGGGCATTTATTAAATTAACAAATAAAGTAGTTAAAATAGAGTAGATCTACCAGGATGATGATGCAAATAGGAAATCGAGCTGGGACTTAAGTCCTTGTTAAAAAGACAGGGCTATTTTGTTGTTGTTGTTGTTGTTGTTGTTTTAAATTGATGGTAGTTTCACCAAATCTAAAGGAGGATAAGGTAGTCGCCCAATTCTAAGGGCAGTTAGAGGACTTAAGTATACAATGCTATTTTGAATTACATTATTTTGCACACTTTTCTAGTGCTTGTAACATTGCCGTGATTAACTGTGAAAACTGTTACAATAAAATGCCCGGATTGTTCTCGGATAATTTTACCAACTGACGTTTATCTGTCGTGACCTATCTTTGAGCAGTTTTTTGTTTGGTTGGAAATAGCACGTGAATTCCTCAAATTCAAGCAATGCTATATGTACATGATCTTCACTGGGTCTACAAGTCAAACAAAACAACTGAAGTTAAGTTCACTGTTTATTGGCCAGTAATGAACCACGTAACGGTGTTTTTTTTTTCAATTAACCAATATGTACAAAACCATCAAAGCTCATGAAGGAATTGCTTGAAATAATTGTAACACCTTTGATATTGCCTACAATTATTGTTCAGGGTATAGTACCAGTTTACACTGATTGGCTTGTTTTCTCTGGCTATGTTCTAACTGATAACTTTTTGTGCCGACACGAAAGTATGAACACCTATCCCATATGTGACTCGTCACTTAAGAGATCAACGCGGTGCAGCTTCGCTCCGTTACAGAAATCGCGCCTACATCACCGTTGTTATGTGTGAACAGAAGCACTATCCGGTATGATTTTCATGCCGGCGCCGGCAAAAGCTCTCCGTTATAGTGTGAACATACAATTATGAATGACATGGTATTGATTAATGCTAACACAGAAGCTGGTTGAGGCAAATCCATATTTTGGAAATGAACATGTTTCGTCATAGCCTGTGTACAGACGTCCCTCATCCCTCAGAAAAAAATTCGGGATCCCGATTTTTTCTGAGGGAGGGAGGACGTCTGTACACAGGCTAGTTTCGTCATTATTTTAAAACATGAACGTGCTGTTTTGCAACAAATTCAACGATAGCAAGTAGTAACTTCTCTTAACACCTGCCTTGTTGGTCAATAACGGTTTTCAACAGTATTAGGCCTGTTTCAAACGTCGTGCTACTGCCGTGCTAAGCTGGCTTGACTGCAGCACGACACTAGCACGACTTGGTTTCAGACGTCGAATTCAATTCAGTCGAATAGAACGGCTGTTGCCGAAAACAAAACACAGAAATCGAGAAACGGTTTAGCAAATTTTTAAATGTATTCCAATGTATTTATAATTTATGAATTGAGTTCGGCACGACGATAGCACGACTTGGTTTCAAACGTCGCGCTACTGCTGTGCTAAACTCCAATTTAATTCGGCACGGCAGTAGCACGACGTTTAAAACGGGCCTTACTTGGTAGTGGGATCTTGGGGAGGATGGTACTGGGTCTCTTTTAAATATCATCTACTGTGATTGCTGTGGACTTGCTGAACGTCGTAAAGCGATTTTACAACTCATTATATCTTATCGTATTCATTCAAGTGTGTGGCAGCGAACTTAAAGATACCATAGACGCCTTTGACGAGCACGAGAACTTGTAATGATTCAGTGTAACTGAACCAAAAATCTACCCTCATACTAAATTTAAAGTTGCTGAGTTTTTTAAATAGTCCGAAAGCTGATGTTTGAGGGTTGTCCAATACACCCGCACCATAACGGTCCGTATACGTTATGTGTCGATCCATACGGACCTTAGGAATCAACAAAAGGGGTATACGGTCTGTAAAGTGTGTTTTACGGTCCGTAAATTGCATCTCATTAGTAGGGCTTAGAATATTTTTATGGCAAGAGTGGTTATATATGACTGGCGTAAGAGTGGAAAACTGAACTCTGCTGAGAGAGTGTCATCGGTTGTTAGGCGTAAGAAATGATAATTCAAAAACATTTCCCAGGCACAATTTTTTACCAAGAGAGTGAAGAGGTTGCTTTTTTAATATGTGCCCTTTTCTCGTGCGGGTTGTCGGATCCTAAAAATCTGTGTTTTGCAAGATGAAAAATTCATTTCATTGTGTTGACTATTTCCATTTACTGTCAACCATTGACTGCCTCCATTTCACCGAGATCCTCTTTTGCTAACGGGAAGCTGAATCATTACATGCAAGGGTTGGCTGGGCAGAATTAAAACATAGCGAGGAGAAGCTGGTTTTTGATCCGTCTTTTCTTTCAAGTACATTCGCTTAATTTTTTTGGCGAGACCACCTGTCTATTTTTCCTATACTTTAATATGTTTCGCGGATTCGTTTTTTTTTTTGCATAACGTGCAAAATATGCAGCAGAGAAGTTTAAAAGCAAATCACAGTATTGTTCATGCTCGACAATCTCCAGCAGTCTCCTACTGATATGTACAGGAAATCTCGGTGTATTATTATTAATCTGCAAAAAGGTAGAGAGGCAACCCTGAGGGAGATTCCTTCCTCCCTCGGTATTCAATTAAAAACAGTTTTAATGTTAAGTACATATATTCAGCGAGCATTTTCTACCCCATTCAGATTATTTTATTCTCAAATATTTTTTCCTTTTTTTGATGTATAATCAGGAATCTTAAACATGGAAAGGTATACGTGATTCTTAAAACCTTTTCAAACACACTCTTTCTAAACAAAAAACGCCTTAGCCCTCAAGTCTTTTTTAAAGTCTGATAAGAAAACACGTATCTTTCAGTAAAATCAGCTCAGTTTTTTTGCATTCGTTAACATAAATAAAAGTTATAGATGTCAGTAAACCACGTAATCACGAAGTATACAACCCACCTTAGAAATTTAGTGAAATTCTCGTCAATGACATAGAGACAGACATGAATCTTTATGTTTAATTTCCATGCACTTTTCAATCGTATCATGGCGATGTTTTTCATGAACTGCTCATCAGCTTATGGGCAAACTACAGTACCGTGCACTAAATTGCTTTTGGATGCATGAGATTACGTGATGCATAGTATTAGAAACCGCTGGAAAAACACAAGGCGGAAATATTTCAAAAGTAAACAGACTCCCGTGAGCTTTAAAAAGCTTCCTTTTGCTTGAAGCATTAGATGGTGAGGGCATTCTTGGCGGAAAGAAAACTTAGTAGCCGCTGTGCTGTAACCAGACAGGAACAACTCAAGGAGGATAGTGGCTTCTTCCTAACATATATAGTTTACTGACAGGCAGAATGTTCAATATAACTTTCAACGACGTAAAGAACACAAGCCACGGTAAGGTACAAGAATGCTGCGATAGCTTAGACATTTTCTTCCGCGATGCCGACAGTGACATTATAACGATCTCAGACACTGTACTTTGCGTTGTTAACGCTATCTTCAGCATCGTTGCTGTATTTTCTAACCTCATTGTACTCTATGCCTTGTACAAAGCAACTTCGCTAAATTCAACGTCAAAGGCTTTATTATGCAGTCTTGCTATTTCGGATTTGGGCGTTGGTGCGATTGTTCAGCCGCTGTTTGTATCATACAGATGGATACAGATACGAGGCAATCTCCCGGACGCGTGCACTGTGGGAATCATATCTCACATTGTTGCTAGCCACCTTTCTGCCGTTTCGTTCATGACAATGATAGCCGTAAGTATCGACCGGCTCCTCGCTCTACTTCTTCGCGTCCAATACCAGTCTGCGGTGACACTGAGACGCGTAGTCATTGTTCTTATTTTGATATGGATTTCAGGAGGTTTGTGGGCTGAATCGTGGAGACGCAATCAAAGCACATATTCAATCATCAGTATCATTTACATTCCAGTTTGCTTAACATTAGCCTTCTTTTCCTACCTTAGAATATATCTCCTTCTCCGCAAGCAAGCTTGTAAAATGGGACGGAATGTGAACCCGTTAAAATGCATAAGAAAGCCAAATTATATGAACTTCTCTCGTTACAAGAAGTCTGTTACTACCATGTTCTGCCTATTTTGTGCGTTTCTGGTTTCGTTTCTTCCCTACCTAGCTCATAAAATTGCAGTAGCTATCTCAGGATGGTCCACTTCAACGTCTGTTCTATTCAGTGTTGGTCTAACCATGGTTTTCATAAATAGCTCGCTTAATCCCATAATTTACTGTTGGAGAATAGCAGAGATAAAGCAAATAGTTCTTAGATTATTATTCCAGTGTCGGGGAATCTCGTTATCCTCGGGTAAAGCCCACGGTAAAGCCCTTTTTCATTCCAGTAGAAACCAAGTTCAAATTTTACCACCTGAACCTCGTTAAGAGACCAGCTGGTTAATATGGTAAAGACGTCAACTCCTATAAAGAACACGTAACATAACATTATGTAACGACTTGTGAATCTGGTTTAGCAAAGTTCTGATGTTAGATAAGTCGTATCCAATGGCTTGGATACCGATCTGAACAACTCTGAATCCGTAGTAGCCATTTGTTCTTTTTCTGCTTAATTCAAGATTTGATGAGTCATCTGGCAAGTTCCTAACTCACGGAATAAGTTAAACTTAACAATGTCATGCTTTAATTTATTTTCATTTTTACCTGAAGAAAAATAAAATCTCAGCGCAACCTAAGTCAGTTTGTATCAGCACCAGTTTACGTAAGTTTACAAAAATGCTTGATATGCCTCAGTGGGTCCACTTATAACTATACACTAGTTTACAAAATACTACTTTGTGTTTTAAAGGAAGTGAAATACAACAGTAATATGGTATTTAGACGGTAATAATCGTGTTTGATATCCCCTTTGCGTGTCACCTACAGCAAGTCAATATGAGATAAGGTGTAAAGATACACAAACTTGTACTTAATATTGGAACACAAAAAACGGAAATGGCATCGCTTTTAATGGGATGAGTATTGTAATGTACTCTGAAATATGATAAAATTTATGTCAAAAATATTGTGTCAGTAAAGAGATGCCTGCGGTAAATAAAAAAGCATGTTGCTGGAATATGCTAGCTCATTGCAATTTTTTGATTCTTAGTTTAAATAAAACGACAGTAAGGTTCCCGAAGTTTGAACTCCCGAGTATTGAGATTTCTAAAATTCGATATGAATAGTAGCGGTAGCGAGGCCTGTAGAAACCAGCTGTACACGTTCCAGTTGTTTTGCCTCCCGGAAGCTGTATCAACCACTATACGTCAAAGTCAAAATTATTGGGAGTGGTCATCAATAACAACCTCACCGCTCACATGGAGAGATCAACTCATGTGCAAAAATCATCTAGCAATCAGTATCGTGTGATGAAGAACATGCGATACCTACCACCAAAACTTATGGTGGCATTTTATTTTTAAGTGGTGATTCCACAGATAACTTATTGAATCTCTTTTAGGGTAACTGTTCAGTTGCAATGTTGTCCGAAATTGAGAACGTACGCATAAAAGTAGCAAGAGTCATTCACAAATTCCCACAGAATGTTTTGGATAGTCTGTGAAGTGTTGGACTGTATCAAGTGGCAACATCTAGGATCCGTGTTCAAACGTAGACTGGCTATTGATGTCTTTAAGGCTAAAAAGGGCTCAACAGCAGATTGATACCATTTCTCACTTTTGTTGAATCTAAGGGTTTATTACTTATGGTAAAACGAAAGAATGCAGCGTTAGGAAGAAATAGTTTCGCCCCGGGTATGCTGTGGTATGGAATTCAATTGATCGAGCTACAAGGGACTTCGAGAAGACAGACACTTTGAGAGCTACTCTGAATGAAATACACTTGAAAAAGCTAGACTTAGCAAAATTACGTTAAGCAAAGGAACAACGATAAACCTAAATAAGGACATCAATTTCATATATTCTTGATTAATTGTACATAAATCATCCTTTTTAGTTTGTAAATAGACTTTTTTGTGAGTAACTTTTTTGGTAGTAATTTTAAAATTTTTAAGTAGGTCCACATCAGCTTCATAAAATTAAATCTACAGCGGTTTTGCCGTACATCAAAGGTATATCTGAACCACTTCGTCGTTGCCTACAACAGCATGGCGTACGATTTGTTTTCAAATCATGATCCGACACGACAACGTAAGATCGCACTTAATACGACCTAAGGAACCTGTGCATATGAAATAGCTGAATTTGTCCAGATCTGTTTTCGGTGTTAAGCTGTTTTTATTCAGCCTTCTTTCCATTTGTTTTGTGATGTTGTAATAAGTTGACCGGTTAGTGTAAGGAGAGCACTGTTATCCCTGTTTTTCGATTTACATCGCGGATTTATATGCTTGTACGATTTACATTTTGGTTGCACATGCATGTATGATTTATGTTCACGAGCTGAAGATTAAACTGTTGAAGTCCAAGTTTGAGTGCTGTCCCGTTTCCAGTTGTAGCAGATCCTAGTACCTTGGAATAGTGACAAGTTCCTTTTCCCGCTAGCCAAGCGAGTTCACCCTGCGAGTTGCAGAGTTAGTTTTCCCCCTTGTTGTTCTTACGCCGAAGTCGCTCGAATTGTCTTAACGCTTATTTCCCCGATTTGTGCCTGGAAGGGCAAAGGCTATCGTCACAGACAATCGTGAGACTAACGATAAAAACTAAACCCTCTATATACATTATCCACTATGATTATTATCTTTCATGACAAAAAAATCATGTAACCACTTGAAAGTTGAAAGCAACTCAAGACTCCAAGTGTTTGTTTCCTTTACAGTTTCCCATGTACATAATACTGCTGTTTGTAAAACCCTTAGCTAGCTAAACAAGTACAATGGGCCCTTTGCAGGACTTGGTCATGTGACCAATCTTAAACAAAAATTATGGGGTACAGCTCTAACAATGCCTTAGATGGAAAGAGCACGAGAAAATTAGGCAGGAGGCCAATTATGAGGAGACTGACACATAAAACTAAGATTTTATAGGTGGTGGAATGTTTGAAAAATTATAAGGATTTCTATGAAAAAACTAGTTGCTGGAACGCATGGCGTGCGTTCCAGCAATTTTTTCGATACAAATCCTTATAATTTTCCAGAAATTCAAGCAGTTATAAAATCTTATTCCTAGTCCTTAGTCTCAGTCCAAGTCCTGCAAAGGGCCTATTTCGTTGAATTGAATATACTGTGGACTAGCAGCTGACAAGAACAGACAGCTAATAAAATGACACTAATTACGCACAATGCTGGCTTTGAAAAGGTTGAGAGATGATGCATGTAGCACTGAAAAAGGAAGACTATTCCAGAACCGAGACTGTTCTAGGAAAGAACGAATATTGAAATGCATTTACTGAAGCTGATAGGGGCATAAGTTTACAAGCGTGTGACACCCTAGACCCTTGAAAATCTACTTAAACGAATTTCGGCTGGGAAAAAAATTGGAATTGATCTTAAATATCTTATATACAGAACATCGTCAAATGATTGATGATACGACGTTTCTCGAGCGATTGCCAGTTCACTGGGTGCTAGCATAACAGAGACGCTACTTTCGCGAAGGTAATAGTCATTAGCAAAGTGGGCAGCTCTCCGTTGGATAGACTCGATGGCAGAAATATCTTTGGGGGTACGTGGTGACCAAGCAACGCTTGGGTACTCCGCAATTGGACGGATAGGCTTAGCTACATAATTCCGGAATTTTGGGGGAATTTTAGACATCAAAAAGAATTTTAGAAAATCTCGGGAATTTTAGGAAAAAATTGACAAATTAGAGAATTTTAGAGCAATTTGAACTTTGACCTGACATGTTGGCAACATTTCAGAGGCAAAAACGTTGACAAAACGTTTGGTTTGTATTCCAACCTACCAAGAGAGGAGTCAGTCTAATCCTACATACACCAGTGTCTAGAGCACTGAGCACAGTGGTTTTTCATCAGAGTCATCTACATTACAACTTATTAGCGGCTATTCACCAAGGGGTCGTACCACTCATTGTTTCTTGTTATATCGCATAAAAAACGGAAATTTTAAGAATTTTCGGGAATTTTAGAGAGTTTTTGTAGAATTTTAGACATTTCTAAAAAAATGTTAGAGCTTTTTTTTTTTGGGGGGGGGGGGGGGGAACACGGAAAAAATTTTTACAATTTTTTGGAAAATTTGGGGGTAAGCCCTTTGAGGGGCCAGGTTAACCAGGGGTTTGGGTTTACTCGCCCTTTCGCGGGAACGGGAGTAAGGGTCTGGCGGGGTAGATACCCCAACAATTTTTTTTTCCTTTGTTTTTTTTTCCCTCCATTTCAAAGAACCACCGAGGAGTGTTGGGGTATAGAACCGTAAATTTAAATATATTTTTTATAAGATTAAATCCATTCTATTATTTTCAATGGAATGTGTATATTTTGGAAGTTGTAGGTTTTGAATAATATTTATAGGGTTTTGTAGATGTTATAATGTAAAGGGGAGGATAATGAGAACCGGAAAGAATTTTAGACAATTTTTCGGAAATTATGTAGCTAAGCCTATGGACGGACCAGGCTAGCATAGGCTTGCGACTTAATCGCCCTGTCGCAGGACAGGATGTAAGGTTCCGCTGGAGTATATACGCACAAAATTTTATTTGCCTTTGTTTTGACTTCCTCGCATTGCAAAGACCAGCTGAGAGAGCTTGTGATGTAAACACGTAAATAATTGTAATACTTAACCTCTTCGAGATAGTTAGCATTCAACCGGTAGCTGAAATACGATGAGTTAGTACGCAGGGTCACAGAAGGAACAAAGCATTCGGTCACACTCTCGCTAGAATCGTTCTTGCTGGGACAATTTTTGGTTATCTAGCAAATTCTTAGCTTGTT